CAGAGTCTTGGGTATCCCCGGGCGCCCGCTGGAGCAAGTGGTCGACCTCTATAGATGACGTTGGTTGGGCATATGTTACGCATGTCACCAGATAGGTTGCCGCGGTGAGCGATGTTTGCCGAGGCAGGTAATGGGTGAAAGAAAGTCAAGGGTGGCCAAGCTGAGACCTAGCACGAGGGTATGAAAACCCTGACCAGGAGTCTGGGTCACGTGGGCCCAGTTAGGCTCCCTAGACGGGGACCTCGGGATGATCGTAACCCACTGTTAGAGACACTGAGTGTCGTAAACAGTGGCGTTCGTGCATCGTCAGTTTCTCTGCACAATTAGTACAATGAAATCCTAAATGTTCTGTGATCCTACTTTCAACCTTTCTCGTCTTTCCCTCCCATGTTCATTCAAATGTGCAACCAAAACCGGCGCACGATAGTGCATGGTTAATGGTTGTAGAAACTGAAACTGTAACCCATCCCGTGCAGATCGTTGAGTCTGAGGTGCACAGGTCATCATACCTCACAAGGTGCAGTCTCCTCGCGAACATGGATGGAGCAGTCAAATCGACGACTGTTGACTACACTTCCCAACTAGCTGCCAGGGTTTGAAAAGATATTACCTCTAAATAATTAGCTTCGTGAGTTCTGTGTAGTACTGAGGGACACAGCGGATATCAGCCGTTTTCCTCTGGGTACAGCCCTTGAACGACACACAAGCAGACCAGATATATGGTGTAATGGGGCGATGGCTGGACTGGGTGCGTGATGCCGCGAAGCATGCAAACTTATCGCCCCGATGGTTTACCACATTATCGTACGCTCCTCGTTGAATCAACGCACATCGAACTACCGTAAACCAGATGGCCACGCATGTATTTGCAAGCCGGGCAAGTGTCCAGCTAGCGGTAGACTTGAAATGGTACCGTTAATCCTCCTCATTCGAGTTCCTGGTCCATCTGTCATGACCTGCTCTCTCGTGAGTATAGGCTAGTAGCCATCACACCAAACATGCTATCGGATCATTTCGTTCCATGTACCATTTCCGATGTTCTCACAACCATAGAAAATCTAAGTCGATCGAAACCTTTATGGCCCATCTTTTGGATAGTAGACTTCACCGATAATACCCTATGGGATCAAAACGTACAAGCCTGTCTACCGTAGAAATATGCTTCGGTCGCAACTAAAATTAATACGTTGTCTACAGTGAATTTTATACAGCTACCACTAAACCATGATTATCAATAAACCGAGTCGGAAAAAGCGAAATTTGAGGCTTCTATTCGAGCATGGAATACAGGTTACGTTATCGTGGACTTGCCAAACGTAATTCCGCCTCGCTAAGTCAACTCAACATCCCGTGTTAGGCTAAGCACTGCAGTTGCCTTGACTGTCACGCAACACCAGTTACGTCAGAACTAACAATCGAGTTCTTATTTTCTCGTGCCTGGAAGGCGTCGCTGTCTTATTGAGCTGTTGGAACGCAGTCTCCAAAAATCCAAGACAACGATAGCCCCAAATTGCGTAACGAAAGAAGTGCTTCTGGTCGAGATAAAAGTGGATTTCGGCAAATGGGCATTGCTATACAAACTCCAAAGGAATTAAACAACCGGGATATCAGTGTCTCCAGAATGCAGAGGGTCTCAGGCCGTAGCCTTCTCCGTTTTCTCCTCCTCTTCTTCAGCTTGTCCGTTAGTTTCGACCTTTTCTCCGTCTGCTTTGGAAGGCATTTCCAAGTCTGGTAAATCTGAAGCAAAAAAATCAAAACTTGATCAAACTCAAACCGTTTTATCTGGAAATTGCTCAACGATGGAAATGGAAAACTACAGCGTTGACTTATCATCTATCTTGGTGGATATGTACTTCTTCGCCATTCCGACAATTCACACATTCGCAGTAAATTCAACATTGTTGGGGGCATCTACCTTTACCTCCAATAAAAAGAGCGCTGCCCTATGACACCTATAACTACCTGGCAGTATTCTTGTCACAAACAAATCATAAAACCTTCGCTTGTTTGATGTGTTTGACGCAGTTTTGGATCCAGACATACCGCGGATAGTACCAACTGCATACGAACGTGTTTTGCCTCTGGCAAATTTGTGAAAGTGAAACCTAATGAACTTGACACGAGAACCGAAATCGTAGGGTTGATGAGACAGAATTCGCAACGGCACGAAGAATGGAAAGCCACGTTTCCAAGTAATAATGGATGAAAAATCGTCCCACTGTGGTATTGCGTGACCAAAACTCCAACAGTACTATGGGGAACAAAGCCAACATACATTTCCTCCGATTTGGTAAAGGATGTTTGATAGGGAATGCTTGTGAATTAAAAAAAAACGCGTACGAGTACCTGGTCCTTGCAAGATTTTCGAACCTAAAAGGTAAGTTCAGATGGTTACGTAAACATGAACAGCCGTGAGTACTTCCATTTCATGGAAACTCTTGGTAGTTTCGCAGATAAACCTGACACGATCCATAAGAGGAATTTAAGCGACGTTCCTTATCTGTCCAAGGTTTTTGAGCGATCGACTATATATATGGATATCCCCCGATGCAGCCACTTACAGCGGGAATCCGCCAAAACAATCTGATGGTCGACATTGATAAAGCTCCAACCCTAATTTCTGCTGTGAGCAAACTTTTACCAGTAACACTTCCCAACAGCCTTGTGCGGATTGTGATTACTATTATTGTCCCAGACCGTAATCAATAGACAATACGGAGGACCTTCCAGAAAGATGAGCAATCATATTGACTCTTGCATACTTGCTGTTGCTATTCCTATGGAGCACATTTATTCCAGTTCAGAATAATGATGAATGAGTCGATTCGGGATCAAGTCCAAATTCTGGACACAGAAGTATTGGGGATCAGTCGAATCACCGCATTTAAGCAAAGAAAGGAAAGCACCGGGCCGAGAGCAGTTCTCAAACATCACTACCACACCCATCCGTAAAAGCTTCAAAAATGCAACGATCCTGTTGAATTCACAGGAACTTCATCCTCCAAGTGACATTCGGGACAGTATGCTAGTGTGCACAAAAGGCACCTGACAAATCACCAGGATGTGCATATTCAGAGTTTGGTACTTATATCTATGATGCCGTCCTCCTCAACATTAGAGAAATGGCGTGTACAAGACTAAGTCTGCTGAAATTTCAACAAGCTGCACACGAATATACTCAAGTCAGGTACCTCGGGAGCAGAACGGACGGGGGAAAAACTGTGGTCTTGTACAAATACAACTGCTCTACCATCAACATCGCATAGCGAGATAGTGAAGTGATTTTCGTTGATGCTTGCCAAGCTCAAGATGTACGCAAAACAAGCGTTATAGTTTTTTCTATTACACATCTGTGATGAACAGCAGACGAGGCGAACCCCATAGCCACGAGGACATGCTGTTCAGTGGTAGAAACCGTCAACCCAAGCCCCGAAACTTGGAGTGAGAAACACATAAGGCCCCGACAGGTTAGGCGTGATATTGAACCGGACGACAGCAGGGCTACTTGCCACCATTCATTGGAGCTTTATTGATGGGTATTGCCTGAATCGAACCACCAAGCAGAACAATAAGGGTTATCAACCCAAAGCATTAGTTTTGACAAAAATCGAACCGTAAAGCAGTGGGTAAGACGGAGCGGAGGCCATCAACTCAGATCAACTACTCCAAAAGCCTTTACCGACTGAGACGCCAACCTTAGTCAAACTTCCAACCTGGGGGACCAGGAAATTGACCTCTAACCATTGCCTATCTATGATTGGGTTTTTTGCTCAACAAAAGCCATCCTGTGCCTTATCGAGCGACAGCAGTTATTTCTATCTTTTAGCTATGCAAGCGTGATCAAAACTGCTAGCTGGGGATGGCAACCGATTCCCCACATATGTTCATCACTAAAGTTTAACTACTGGTCAAATGTGCGGAGAAAACTGAGTTTTCAATGAAACTCAAGGTCGGTCGTTCTCGTTAACAGATAACGGCTCTGAAATGGTTCACGCGTTCCCATCGTTCATCTCTTAGTCCGATCCGCGGGCGAGGGATAGGGATGAGAAGATTGGTGAAGTGGCAATCATCACGTGACGTTTGCCACGATAGGGATCTTAGTTGGCTTCCTGCGTTCTCCGTCTGCGCACAGGGAACAAGGGCTGCGGCTGAAAAACGCTGGTCCATATCTTGAGCGATAATCCGTGGGAGTGGTGCACTCCCCTAAGAACGTCAGAAAATATTTCCTGAAACCATCGTACTGCGTTTCATTGACCACGCACATTTTCGATTATCTCAACTTCACTGTTTCGCACTATGACACTGCTTGTCGCAGCGACATCCCCAAGACGGCATGAAGCTTGGCCCATCGAGCGAATTCGAACTCAACTTGTCAAAAACAATACACCCAAGCTTGTTGATGACCGCTACACCAACCGATGCTACATTTCACGTCCGGAGACAGAGGTGGGGTGATTCAGCAGCTCGGCAGATCGCTTACAACCGGCCTTCACAATGTACAAGTTTCTCCTCCCCTACCCAAAAACTCATCCCTATATACATAAAGCTGGTCTTCAGGTGAAGGCTCTTATTTCTCGCTGTTATTTTTCAAGTATTTGAAAAGGACCTTATTCAGACTTACTCAAAGGTGGTCATCATCTAGGGTACTTCTTACACCGGGCTTGACTGTGAGCAGCGTACCTAGAAACTGTCTACCCTAGCCGTCACCCGGTTTAATACCATACCCGATCTAGCAGGGACTTGTATTTCGCCAGTTGGAGTACCGCGGTTTGGGTTATCCAATTCCATCACTGAACAGCGAACTTCGCTGATTGCTGTTACACTCGCAATGCATACAAGGTCGGTGGCAATATGTAAGGTAGACTATTTTTATAGGTGAACCTTTAGTCACCACGGAGTATAAAATCGAACTCTGCATACATCCTGTTTCAAACATTCTGGAAAATAACTAATCCACAGCCCCTATGCGTAACTTAATTTGCTTTACTAATCCTGAAAAATCAGGACACGTAAATAGTGGAATAACCGAGTACCCGAGTTAACGAATAACTTCGATTTGATCTTGCGCCACTGCACGCCTGTTCTGGTGGAGCCATAGGCAGTTGGACCTCTTCATTTCTGTCTACCAGACCTTTTCATACCCTTTTAAATTGGGGAGAGTAACTTTCAGTACTTTAAAATAGTGAATACGGCCTAGTGCCCTCTGGAGCAGTATGCGATCACCCAAATGGATGTTTTGGTCTTTCGGACGGAATGGTCGACACTGAACGATGACAAATATTAACCACCAGGCAGACGATTATTGTCGGGACAAGGAAAATTATCGACGACTAGAATCGAGTGGATGGAGCAAGAAAGCAGTACAAAAATTGAAACTCTAAAGATGCAAACAGCAAGGCCCAGCACGTCCATTGGAACATTTCAAACCGGGTTGACCTTAAATAGCATACGCGAATTTACAGAACAGTGGAAGCTGACTGCGCCGAAGTGACTTAGAGCACCACATTGCTCACTTTTGTTCAAAAATGAAAAGATGCTGATAGGGAACGCTAATCTGAGTGACGATAATCCAAAACTAAGGAGCCAGAGTGCGAACAGGGCAGTCGGTTTAACGACACTGATTATGTTCCCCACTGGACCGACGTTTGATTATCCTAGTAGCAAACCAGCGTATGAAAAATTCCCTGCTGAGTAACTACTATGGCATAATAACAGGAGTAGTTACCTTCATCATCCGAGTCTACATCGGCGTCAGCATCATCACCGTAATCATTGAAGTTGGACATATCTGGGAACATGTTAGTGAAATTGTCCATCCCGCCCATTTCCGGTTCTGACTCATTTTCATCCACCCAACGATTGAAGTCAACCTTCAACCAAGGTTGCTTAGCCGAAGATGAAAGGAGCCGGGGCCAGAAGCCGTTCTCTTTCTTTTTGATATACATTACAATCTCACGGTCTGTGGACATTTGACGCGATTCCTGAAAGCCCATAAAATTGACAGCAAAGTAATACCTGAGGGACTACTTGACCATTGAACTCGAGGAGAACTTCATACTCGCGGCGTTTAGNAGGCGTTCCGGATTTTCCTCTGCAACCGGGTGTCATCGGTGACAATTTCACTTACCGAAAAAGCAAGGAGCCTTCTTTCAGTTCAAGCACTTTATCTTTTACATCACCCAACGAAATGGTAACGTATAGACAATCGGCTCTTTGCGCCCACAGGACTGGAGGATGAAGACTTGAGAACGATAATTGTGAAAGCAATTTAAAACTCACACAGCAGGTTGATCGCCTGACATTTCGAGCTGAGTTCACGCGCAGAGTAAAGCCCGCCCACGAGATTGTTCGACGAAAAAGGACTCACTTAAACAAATGTTTTTAGACCAATGACATTCAAATGAAGAAACTTAGAAACCCCAAATACAATGCTCCTGATTGTTGCTAGTTGTTATCGTTTGAAGGTAATAGCACATCAGTTCCTCAGCAGGTTGTTTTATTTGTACATATTTATAATGACATCCTGTCTTTATTCTCTGCTTATCAGTCCTCTATCAATCGAAAGGTACTTCATTATTTTAACAAGTGTACCTTACCGTTTTTCGCTTAATCGTGGATTGACTTGTCCCGGTGATTCACGCTTGTTCTATCCACGTGCAAACTCGCGTTGGTTTAATAAGTTGCGAACAGTGGTTTGGTAGGACGATTTCTTTTGAAGTCTTGAATTATTACATGAGTGCTAGGTTAAGCCCAATGGTCCCCGGTCTAAATGGTTTCCAAAGTTTCTTGTGATCCTGCGTCCCGTTTCATCGGGTCCGGTCGATGCCCCACAACGGCGGCCATTGCATTATTCGAGTGTATCCGATACCTGTTTGTCGAACAACATTATCTAGAAGTAGATAAATGAGGGAGAGGAATGCAGTATCTTGATGCAGTGCAACATATCGAAAACCTCCGGAAAAAGTTACAAAGCATGGTTTACACATTGGAGCGGAAAGCTGTTTACCGTTTAGGGATTAGACCAAAAAATAGTCTAATCTGTTTGAAAACGGATCATTTACTTTTTCTTGGGGGAGCTATACCAAACAGGAATGATCCTGTGAGGAAAGTAGCACTGTCGGACTAGTTTAATGCTGTGCCCAAGGACATTATCCATGGCAGTGCGCAAGAGGTCGTCAACCTTGTTAAACTTGAAGGAATTGCACAGTAGGAAGACGTCACCTCTAATTCGACGAGTTTTTAGAAATTTGGAATGCAATATCACGACCTACGACAGCGATCCCATCTCTAATTCTCCCGTGATTCTCGATCACCCGGTATGAATCAGGAAGAACAACCGGTTAGTCAAGGGAAATTATATTGTTCCCTGAAAGTACCGGAGTTTAGGCTGACTACGCTCGAGAGTATCTGAAAGCGAAAATGCTTTTCAAGCGAAGGTGTAGCACTGAATTCACGCACCGCTTAAAGTGAAGTTACTTCACCGGAGGTGGCAGTGACTTAAACAAAGATAAAAAACCTAGCTGAAGAAGCGGTCTCAGGATGTCGAAGATCCTGGCGGGATGTATGCTACAAAGAAGGATGCACGAGCGCGATGCTTCAAGCAACCAATGCCTGCAACCATGCGAAAGCATACATGCGGAACAGGCAGGTGGTGACAACTCTGGAGCATGTTATATTGTCGGTCTTAAGCCACTACATGTTTCAGGGGTAAATGTTCCGAAGGGGAAGACTTGTAAGGAGATGAGTGAATGGAGACCCGTGACCAAGGTTTGCCGTTCTCTGTTTTGCACGCTCTGATGAATTACGGTCGGTGACCAAGCGGTAGTGAGCTGTTTTGCTCACGTATTCCAAAAGTGATCGGATTTAAGTGCTGTAAAGAATTTGAAAGTCGTACCTACCTGTCCTGAGGAAAGAGCATTTTCCAAAAGTTGGGACATAAATGGTGGATTTACTAGATTTTGTTGCTGATAATAGAACGACCATGACCTTGTCAGCCAGAAAACAGGGGCCCTGTGATGTTCGACACCCGTCATGGCCGAGGAAGTGCTTACTCTAGACGTTCACCCAGAGAGACTTCGAAACATCATGCTGACTCATTTTTCGATGTTTATTGGAAGGTTTCAGTTCACTGACTAGTCACTAACCGCATCCGTTGCTGATTGAATAGCCACAAACTGGGTGCCCCAAATTTTCACTTCGTCAGCGTACATAGAGACGCTGACTTTGGTCCTAAGTGGAAGGTCATTATTAAATATAAGAGATGGAAGGGAATCAAGTGTAGTGACCATGATTGTACGAAGAAAAGGAGCAATCCACGAAGACGTTTTCCGTTCATGTTTTCTTCACAATCAACTCTGACTCGAACTGTGATATTTTCTTTGTTTTACTTCTGTTTGTCTCCACAATCAACTCTGACTCGAACTGTGATATTTTCTTTGTTTTACTTCTGTTTGTTTTACCAAGGACGGTTTTCCGCTCAGGCGTATATATAAGCTGGGTCCTGTTCAAACCCACGCTACACGCAACTGACTCCAACTGTGATATTTCTTTGTTTTACTTCTGTTTGTTTTACCGAGCACGGTTTTCAACTGTGATATTTTCTGTGTTTTACTTCTGTTTGTTTTACCGAGCACGGTTTTCCGCTCAGTAGATATAAGCTGGGTCCTGTTCAAACCCACGCAACACGTGTAACACGCTTTCGCTCTGCTACCGCTGGGTCTTGTTCAAACCCAGGCTACACGTGTGACACGCTTTCGCTCTGCTACTGCATTTGTTGCTTGTCCTTTGTTTTACTTCTGTTTGTTTTACCGAGCACGGTTTTCCGCTCAGGTGTATATATAAGTGTCCTGTTCAAACCCAGGCTACACGTGTGACACGCTACCGCTCTGCTACTGCATTTGTTCCTTGCTTTGTTTAGCGTCACCTTGGCACGTTTCGGTACTATCTAGTACCA